TCAAGGTCAATGTCACCTCTTGAGTTTCCTCCAGGACAATAGCTGCTTTCTATATGAAGAGGGTGTGGTATGCTATACCCCTGTCAACCTAAGGAATCACTCTGATAGTGACGGGAGCATCAACTCTCCAAGACGGATAACAGAGGAGGAGACTGGGGTCAGGTCATGGATGGAGTTAAGATGGGATCCCTGCTCATCAGGGCCCTGGAGCTAAATGGAGAGGAACCACCCTGTGTCTAGTCCCAGAAAGATGCTTCTCCTTCCCGTGGAGAACCTGAGACCCACTGCTACTTTATCCAAGTCTCAGGGGTCACCTAGTCTGAAGGTTCCCATCAGGGGCCTCCTTTGTAAGTTGGAGTGGCCATGGCGAGAACCATCCTCTGTAGCATGGCCTGTGGGCCTGAATTAGGCTGTCCAGCTCAAGGCAGGCAAGATCTCTGAGGTTCTGGGCCAAGGGCAGATGCAATGTGGGGGTCATAGGATCCCTGTTGACCTCCTGGGCTAGGCCAGCCTGGACCTCAGAGCCTCTGGTGTCCTGGCACATCTCTCTGACCCCCAGTGCAGTTCAACACCAGCCTCTGCAAGTTAGCAGACACTGTCTCAAAATAAAAAATAAAGAAGGCAAGGATGTAGCTTAGTTGTAGAGGTGATGTTTCTGCACTGTTGTTTCCAAACCCATTAACGTGGCATATCTTCAGTTTCTTTGCACCTTGAATGTCCTTAATACAGGTGCTCTATTTCCTCTAAAGAGGTGGTGACACCATGGTTTTGTTAGGTAAGCCTCTAAGTGCTTAGATATGTTCTAGTTTTATCATTATTTTTGATATGTTAAGTAAATTGAGGCCCAAAATAATCATTTTTTTGCATTTTATTTAATTATTTTACAGTAGAATGCATTTTGACCCATTGCACCCAAATGGAGCACACCTTCTCATTCCTCTGGCTGTCCATGGTGCAGAGCCGCCCCAGTGGTGTGATCATAATGTATAGGGGTAGTAATGTCTGTCCCATTCTACTGTCCTTCCCACCCCCACAGCCCCACCCCTCCCCTCACTCCCCTCTGCACAAACCCAAGTTCCTTCCTTCTTCCCTACCCCTCTCCCCACTATGGATCAGCAGCCACTCATCAGAGAGAACATTCGCCTTTTGGGTTTGGCTTATTTCCCTTAGCATGATATCCTCTAATTCCATCCATTTACCTGCTAAGAGGCACATTATAATCTTTTTAAAAAATTTTGTTTGTAGTTGAGTATCAGTGGAGTGCCTTCATTTTTGTTGTTGTTGTTGTTGTTTATTGTATGTGCTGCTGAGGCTCAAACCAAGGGCCTCACGCACGCTAGGCAAGCGCTTTGCCACTGCGCTACAGCCCAGCCCCACAATATAATCTTAAAGATTTCTTTCTCTTTTTTTGAGAGCCAACAGCAGTTCCTGAGCTGGGCAGCTCCAAAGCAAATGCTTTGGGGGCTCCACGGAGGGAATGCAAGGGGGTGGCATCTGGGGGACAGACACAGAAGACAGCAAACGTCCCTTGGCCACAGTTGTCCAGCTGACTTTGTGGATCTATCAAAGGTCCCTTAATGGACCAGCTCTGACCTTCTTCACAGCACATAGCTCACACTTTGATTTGCAACCCTACATCAAGGGGGGCTCAGGTCAGTGACAGGCAGAGCTGGTTTCAATGGCTCGGGATCCTTCAGACCTGGTCCCTGTTTGTGGTTTCCTCCCCCAGACACTACTGCCAACAGCAGCGTTCACAAGATCCCGTCTCTGTTATTCCCGTGATACGGAAATACACTTAATTTCTGTAGTTGGACTAATCTCTGGCAGCTTTGCTGACTCCCCTCTTGAGCCCCAAGTTCATCTGTATGCACTCCGGGGTTTTCCTGTCTGTGCATCACATCCTTCATGAAGAAAGTCGTCTTCTTGTCTTTCTGCATTTTTATGGGTGCCCTGTGGTTGCACATAGTGATGGGATTCGTTGTTATATATCCACTCATGCACACAAAACAACAATAAAATGAGGCCAACATCACCCCCCGCACTTCCCCGTCCCTCCTAACCTCCCCCACCCCTTGGTCCCTTTCCTCTGCTCATCTCCCTGTGGTTCTCATGAGATACACCCCAACTTTCTTTTCCTTTTTCCTCTCTAGCTTTCACATATAAGAAAAAACACGTGACCTGGACCTCCTGAGTTTGGCTTACTTTTCTTAACATTAACATGGTCCCTAGTTCCATCCATTTTCCTTCAGATGACATAGTTTCACTCTTCTTTATGGCTGAATAGCACTCCACTGTGTGTATATGCCATATTTTCTTACCATTCACCCATTAATGGACACCTAGGCTGCCTGGCTGGTTCCATAGGGTGGCTATTGTGACTTGTGCTGCTATAAACATGGGAGTGCATGTATTGCTGTAGTTAACATGACAAATTCCTCAGGGTAAAAACCAAGGAGTGGCCTAGCTGGGTCATATGGTGGGTCCATGCCTAGTCTTTGGAGGAAACTCCAGACTGATTTCCACTGAGACAGCAAAAGTCTTCCTTTCATCCACATCCTCCCCAGCATTTATTATTGTTACAATTACTGATGACTACCACTGAAATCTCAGTGTATTTTTAATTTTTTTCTATTCTCAATTCTTGTATCTTTTACTTATTTTCATGCCTTAGGACCTGATGCTGCTGTTCCATTTGGCGTGATGTTTGCTGAAGACACCTTTTAACTTGTCGGGGGAAATTGCTCTTGTTCCCAGCTGGCTCTAAGTTATCATGAAGGCCTTTGAAATTTCCAGTGTTGATCTTTTTATGACTTCAGATTTAATGAGCTAAGGTTCATATGAAAACAGAAGCCACACTATGATTTAGCAGAGAGATTGTGTGTGTGTGTGTGCGTGTGTGTGTGTGTGTGTGTGTGTGTGTGTAAAACTGAAGATTGACTCCAGGGGCACTGAACCACTGAGACGCAGCCCCAGCCCTTTCTATTTTTTTTTATTTTGAGGCAGGGAGTCACTACATTGCTGAGAGTTGTATTAAGTTAGTGAAGCTGGCCTTGAACTTGTGACTTGTGATCCTCCTGCCTCAGCCTCCCTCTTCACTGGGTTTACAGGAGTGTGCCACTGTGCCCAGCTGTCCTTCCTCCTTCCCGTCTGCATCCACCCTTGATGATCCACTGCTGACTTACACCATTTTATAGGAGAAGC